CATTTACACCCAGTGACTCATCTGGCTATGGGGGATGGTTATCACCTTCAAGTAGACGACAGAGTTATCACCTTTAAGTAGACGACAGAGATGGTAAAAATCTTGTGTTCTGTATAACAGCAAAATGGAGGAAGGTACTTCCTGTGTGTAAGACCCAGAAAAAAACACGAAAAGTAGAACTGTTAAAATCGAATGGTATGGAAAGAAGGAAATGTTTCATAAATCTAATTTGAAGATAAAAGAATCTCATTAAGGGTAGAAGACTTGTGTGTATTTAATTCTAATTGTATTTCAATATCATAGAACTAAGAATGAGAGACTATCAGAGTATGAATAATGACACTTCTGTGTATGTATATATGTATGTATATATGTTTACATAATTATATATAAATATGTCTCCATATTGTTTTTAAACTCACATACTATAAAATACACACACAAACAAATGCATACACACACACACACACATATTTGCTTGTGTTCATGTGTGGTTTCATGTATATACGACTATATTTGTACTTCATAAATAGAGGACTCCTGATTATTTCTTTCATTTAAAATACATAGCTATAGTCTTTTTGATATCACTTAGTTCTATAAATGATTCTGCTAATATGCCAGGTAGAACAGTTATATTTAAAGCATAGCTATACCAGATTGCTTGATGCAAATTATTATGACAGTGTTCCTTGTAAATAAATGTTTAAAATACATTTAAATAGATATTGATTAGTGGATATTGTTTGGGTGTCTTTTTGAGACATCAGCTTGGATAACTTAACACAACGAAATCCATAAAAATTACGTGCTCACTGTTTTTCTATTATTTCTTAGTGTTAGGGACCAATCTGCACCTTCTAGAAGTTCATAGTGCAATGGAAAATAATCATTATAATTACAATAGATGGCATGCTCATAAATTTTCTTTCTATATTTGTCCTTTGGATGTTGAGTAATTACTTAATTCAGGTGCACCCAAAGCTCTTAAGTAATACTATCTCCATAAGATTTTCTTAAGAAACCATATGGAAAGCCTTAAGAAAACAATATGATGACTGTTTTCCTAATACATGGATCTCTGGGATTCTTGAACGTTTTGCAGCTCTTACTCTCCTAAAATAGTTCAAGCTTTGTGACTATTCCCAGTACTTAAGATTAAATCATTTCTTTCTAGTGTCTGTGACCACTGGGTATAGTGATTTAGGAAGTAGTCATTCTTTGAGCAAGAGTAAAGGCTGCTTTGAGATTAAAAGCTATTTTCTCTACTAAACTCAATGAAATAGTTCAGTCAAGTGCCACAGCCAGCCCAGTAAATAAAAAGGCAAAATTTCCCCTCGGTTAAATTCACATCCTGTCATTGTTTGCATTTAATAATTCATTATTTCTTTATGTCTTTATGTCTGTATGTGTTTACTGGAAATTCAATATACAGCCCTTTGTGTTAAGTTGCTTACTTGCTGAAATCATACCTGCCACTTCCATGTTGTGATAACATTTTTCTTCAATACTCATAAGCTTGGAGGACATTTGTTAGTAAGAGGCCAGATTTTCCTATGAAAGAAAAATAGTCCTTCTGGCACAATTTAAATCAGAAGCTAAAAATGTGTTTTATAACTGGACTTCTCAACCTCTCTTTCCTACTTGTTATGAGTTGTATGTTGGGACACTCCCCTGACTGAGGTGTAAGAATATCTTCCTACTTGATTTGATTATCTGTCCCCATTTCCTAAATAAATACTCTCAGAAGATTATTTTTATACGTGAAATGTCTACCGGTCAAGATAAGTCTTTTTGAATTGTCATCAATTCCATTTGACTTAAGCATTGGGAAATAAACTACTCCTTTTTGTAAGTTGTTATTTGGAAATCCCATTACAATGTTTGCTAATGTCAGAAAAATGCATTTGAAATAAAAATAAAAACACATAATCTTATATATAATTATATATAATATAAATAATATATATGACATAATATATGACATAGTGGATAATGAACAAATTTAATTGATCATTTTTAAAACTGTATAATAAATGATCAAAACTATCCAAAGGTTTACAAGTTCAGATAGATGATTTGTTCCATCTTACCTGAATTTATTGTCTAGAGTCTTCTGAGACACAGAAAAAAATTATAGCTCAAAATCCAAAAATTGTATTCACCATAGCTCTTGTCCCTAGTATCATGAGTCATGTACATGGGAAGGGGTCTGCAATGCCATGTATCCTGGTCACTGTAACACAGATTGTTGGTTAAAGAAGCAAATGGGGGCAATGCTGTTTTATTTCATGCCTTCTATTTACTATGAAATATTAGCAGACTTGAAGAGTACAATGAAATAATTGAAGTCAGCTACAACAGGAAATATCACTCTCAGTTCTATTAGAGACAAAATTTTGAACTTTGAGTAGATTTGGAATTTTCTTTCAAGGAAAACTGTTACATTGGTGGCTATATGATAAGGTCTGTTTCTTTGCTTTTTTTTTTCTGTTTTTGTTTTTTGTTTTGTTTTGTTTTGTTTTGTTTTGTTTTGTTTTTGAGACAGTGTTTCTCTGTGTAGCTTTGTGCCTTTCCTGGATCTCACTTTGTAGCCCAGGCTGGCTTCAAACTCACAGAGATCCACCTGCCTCTGCCTCCAGAGTGCTGGGATTAAAGGCGTGCGCCACCACTGCCCGGCTGTTTTATTACTTTTATATGAAGTTGACCACTGCTAGGCTTTTAGGGTTACAATATTTACAGATGCATGTATTGATAAGTTTCAAGAGAACCCCAAAACATTATTGTATTTAGTACTAACTGAATTTAGAATAAAATTTATTGAATGGACAAGTTTTCAAGGAGCACATTTTCTTTTCAACAGGCTTTCCTACTCTCTGTGTACTATAATCTGTGTAGTTCTCCTCTCACTTCTCATGACCCCTGTCCCTTGTGCCATGTCTATAGCTAAACCATTAAAAATAGACAATGCGTTGTCTCCACCACCGAAGGCAGCTAGGTCAGCTCGAATCCCTCACCCCATCTGTTGGGAGACTTTGCTGGCTGGTGGAGGATGCAGCCTCCCCATGGCCTGGAAGCTTTCTCTAAGCTGCCATATGGAAACTTGGGAATAGGGAAACTTGGCAATATGGAAACTCCCTCCCTCCCCAGCAATGCTCCCTGCTCTCTACCTAGCCTTATCTGGAGGATGTCTCTAGGCCCAGGATGCCTTACATATCCCAAGAGTGACCCTTGACACAGTTACCTGCAAAGGCTCTTCCCTGGATGGCCCACATGGTAATTAGGCAAGCACTCTAGCCATTTTGATAGGACCTGACTGCCACATACAAAGCTGTGTGGTAGGAGCATGCCAGTTAATGTAAATTAGGGTTAATCCCCAGCTTCTTCAGTCCTATATATGTATTCCTTACACCTTGGAATAAAGTTGACCTGATTCACCGAAGTCTGTCTCTCAGAGGGCTGCCTCTGTTCATGCTCATGGGCCACATAAGAAGATTTCTCTCATCCCTTCTGCCTCTTTCCCCTCTCAGACAGGCCGAGAGGGAAATAGGACCCGCTCAACCATTGTTTTGAGCTTCTGAATGCTTTTTTCCCCTGCCCCCTTCCTTATTTTCTAATTTTATTATTTATTTTCATTATAATTTTTTACTCAAAATGCCCTGGCATTTCATTTAATAAAATGAGTTAAATTGCTATGTTGATTTTTAGGAAAGCGAAGGGTCAGTCTCTACTTTGTTTACCACAAGTACATGCAGTGTCTGCTTTTTAACAAGTAAGAATTGTCTTGAGTTGCACTATTAACCTGCTAGATTCGATTTTCGAAGGAATGTGAAGAGCTGTTTCAATTTTATTTATTGTGTTATTACTTATGATGAATTTAGCACTTACAAACAGGAGCCCTTTTGTAAGAAGCACTTCACCAATTCCTTTGAGTTATTCCAATGACCCTGTGAGAAGTAAGAATAGAGCATTTATAACCTGTATTTCACAGGTGAAGCTGCTGAACTGACACGTTTATATTCTTGGGTGTTTTGCTCTTTGACAGAAACGTCTCTTCGAATTTGGAAGATTCACCATTACTACTCCCCTGAAGGCCAAAAAGGGAAAGAAAAGAGACAGAAAGTAAAGGAATAGTGTAGCCACACTATTAGTCTTGGGGCCCTGAACTCAAACCTTTTTATTAAGTGAATTTATTCTCCTTGGGGGGACTTGCTCACACTCTTCTCAAATCTCTTTCATATTGGTCATAGACTGACTTTCGCTTCCTTTGTGGTACTGGAGAGCTGAGGGGTTTTCTGTGCAGTGGCATGTGCTTACCTTTAAAGGAAGCAGAGGTTTAGTATTGCTGTTTCATAAAACTGGTCTAATATTGAAGCTGGCATTTACACTCACATGCTTTTATCCAGGGATTTTAGTTCTTATGACTTTCTGCAAACTTTGTGAGTAGTTTATCTTATAATCTATTTTTTTTATTTTAGAGCAATTAGAATATTTTCTGATCCAAATATTCTTAACTGAAATGAGTGGTTTTAATATAATGCCTTAATTTTAGACTTAGCCTTTTTCAACACTAGAATACCAACATTACCTATCCAATTTCCAGAAGTGCCCCAAATTGAATTTTTAGAAACTTCCATATGTATTAAAAATTTTAGATAAATACAGTTTACTATGCATCTTTCCTAATACAGTTCTCTATGGACCAACCTAGGACTGGGTATGTTCTCTTACACCACAGAGGAAAATGCCTAATAGTTGATGGATAGTAAGCCTTCTGAGCAAACACAGAACAACAACAACAAAAAGATCCTGTGGTGTAGAGAAACCAACAGTTCTGTCTCAGTCAATGCAGGCTACAGTATCAAAAATGATCATCTGAGAGGCTTAAACATCAGACGCTTATACTTCACACTATCACATACTAGGAAGGCCAAGGGGAGGTGCATGCTGCTCAGGAATTCCTTCCTGGATTACAGACTTACACTTTCTGTGTCTTCAAGTGGCAAAAAGGTGCTCTCCCTTCTTTCTTCTTTGTTTTTATAAAGGCATCAATTTTATCAGGGAATCTCCAACTTCATGATCATATTAATATATATAGTATAGTGAATCTTTAGGTTTTCCCCAAATCCATAGACTGGCAAAATTGATAGGATTGCAGGTAAGACCTTAAATAAAATAAAATAGTTCGTGCAAGTAGAGGCCTCATGAATGAGATTTGTGTCCTAATAATGGAAGAACATAGAGAAAACTTTCTCCTTTCCTGTGACACAAAAATGCAAAAGAACACTGGTAGTTCACAACTGAGAATAAATGAGCAGACTTTGTTGGTACCCTGGCTGATGCGTTTCACCCTGAGGAACAATAAGAAATAAATATCTGTTGTGTCTGAGTCTTTCAGCACTTGGTAATACTTCACAATAATGAGATCCCACTCAAAGACACTTCTTCAGATATTACCAAGAGACGGGTTTCCATATTTGAATTTTCAGGGAACAATCTTCATTTTGTAAGTGAAACTGAAGAAGTATATTTGACAAAACAACAACCAGGGCTTGCATGAGTGTCCTTCGTGGAACTCATGTTAAGACTTAGATTCAAGAGTGGTGGCATGAGGAGGTGCTGCTGACATTTAAGCAAAAGATTAGAGTAGGAGGCTATTAGGTCACTGGAGGAATTCTCCTCAACATGAGCATAGGATCTCCTCTTCCTCTGCTTCCTGCCTTGAGATGTGACAGCTTTCTCTAATAAATGCTCTAACTGCGATGCTGTAACCCATGTGACATGGGTCTGGAAACCTGACTGGGGTGGTGCGGGAATGAGGAAAGACAGACACATGGACACAAGTACAGAAAAGCATGAATCATGTGGGTTTTGAGTCTTCTGATGGAGTGGCACTAATTCCGCAGCAACCTGAAACCCCAACATATTTATGTACAGCACTAGGCATTACCTAGTCTCTACAGAAGGCTTCTGTAGGTGAGTAGTCTCAGTCCACAAGCATTCTGGAAGAGGAAGATGAAGTTGTTAATTTTTGTACACACTGATCAGTCAATTATTTAAAAACAATTGTACTTGGACCAGCCTGAATGGAAGAGGACTGTCCATTTTCCATGGATCTGCAGCTTTGTCCCTTGACTTGGCCAACCCAATGTTAAAAATAGACATTCATTCAAGGCTTCAAGATTTTACACATTCACTTGGGGTTCCCTTGCCTCCCCTAACCATGATATACTTTCTTAACTGTAGGCTAAAAGAAATGAAACCCCCTCAGTCTTGGATTTTAACCTCTAGAACCATGAGCCTGAATAAGTATTTCTTCACATCCTATGTAGTCTGTGTCAGGCAGGTATTGCGGCAGAGATGGAAACCTGAATATCAAATCACGGTAGTTCCTGGTTATCATCTGGCTTCAATGTGCTGCAATCTGTGTCATGGTATCGTGGTACTCTATACAACTCCATGATTCTAGGCATTCCATTGGATGTGTGCTCCCTCTTCCTAGAAAGCAAATCTCTATAGGCTTCCCTGTATGTTTACTATACTATTGTCAATTATTTCTCTGGTTCAGCAAAATTAATATCCATTATGCAACAAAGTGATTTTACCATTAAATGGCATCTTGAAAAAAATATTTACTCATTCAGAGCAATGCATGTTAAATTTACTTTCAACTGAAATATAAAGTAAAAAAAATATGGTGCCAGCTACTAATTTAAGTTTTATATAACATTATTAGACAAATAATAAATATTTAGTGCACAGTTGAGACTGCCTTTACATCATTTTAGACTCAAGTTAAGAAAAGATACCTAATCACTAGATGTTATGTAGAATACATTGCTTTATTGTATGCATTAGCTTACCAAAGATGAAAGTATTTAAAGGTAATATGGTGGACTGAAAAGGTTAAAAAAAAAAACATAACACAAAGCTTAAGAAATTGCTCTAGTTCAACCATTTATCTACCCCAACTGAGACATCTCCCATACCTTTTTAGACAATAGTGATCCAGGCCTGAAGGAGCTGAGATGACTCCTATCTTTAGCTGTATCCCATCGATCACAGTGCTTTTCTTACACTTTTTGTTGTACAAGTTAAGGGGCTGCACAGACCTTGTAACTTGGTCATTAAAAGGTATTTTATTTGGCAGAATAAGGGAGATCACATTCATTTAGTGTTTATTTGATGTGGGAAAGCAAATGAGGTAGATTTGATAATCATTTTAAATAGGAAGCAAGAGAGTCCTGAGTTACTGGACTACAGTAAAAGCAGTCTGGGTCTGGTCTTCATAGAAGACTTGTGAATGACCACTGTATTTTTGCTTATGTTAACATATCATTTTCTGTCTCATACATTGCCTAATAGGTTGCAATATTAATTAGTTGTCATCTGATTCAACTAATATTATAGGACAGTGGTCCTTTTGCAAAAGTTAGTATGCCTTTCTGTAGCTAGAGTTTTTCTGCTTTGCCCACAGTCAGGACAAATCTTTGTCACCCACCAGTCCCACAGCCACTCAGACCCAACCAAGTAAACACAGAGATTTATATTGCTTACAAACTGTATGGCCGTGGCAGGCTTCTTGCTAACTGTTCTTATAGCTTAAATTAATCCATTTCCATAAATCTATACCTTGCCACGTGGCTCATGGCTTACCGGCATCTTCACATGCTGCTTGTCATGGCGGCAGCTGGCAGTGACTCCTTCCGCCTTCCTGTTCTCTCTTTTCTTCTCTCTGTTAGTTTTGCCTATACTTCCTGCCTAGCCACTGGCCAATAAGTGTTTTATTTATTGACCAATCAGAGTAATCTGACATACAGACCATCCCACAGCACCTTTCTATATCTCAAATTCAACCCTTGAGTATTCTACACAAACCATTATTATGTCTTTTGTTTAAAAAACTGGCTGCAGCTGTTGCTCTTTTAAGATTATAGAAATTTTCCTCATATCTATGTATCCTGTAGTCCAAGGTCAGCAGTTCTATTCCCTACAGTGAACTCAAATACTGACTGCTGATTCCAGGTGAGGTTGAGTAGAAGCTTATGTGCTGACTATCTTCTGTTTTCAGTCTTTACACACGAGCTTGGACTATGTTTCTTTCCTTACACTTTTAAACTCGTCCTTATAATCTGCATGTGCACAGAAGTAAACAATGAAATGACCACAAAGGATGTCTCATTCACTTCAAATGTTATGATATGTTATACTTGAGTTGGTATGTAGACATTTTTGTTTATATTTCCTGGACTTTTCTGAATAATTAAAAATGGAATGGAATCACATCATATTAAGCAATATAGTATAATTTTTAAAATGTAACTTGTACTGTAAGTACTCAGGAAAATATAGGAGTCTTTGAAAATTGTGCAACAACCTAGATGAAATCCTGCTATGAATTATTCCTATGAATTATACTGACTCATTAGATTTTATGAGCACTTAAAAGTCTTCAAGATGGGTCATCATGTACTTGTGTTTGTAAAGCTTCTTTCCTTTATTATTAACCATCATAAGCTTTGTTTGGGACTGGTTGCTTAGCAATATTATTTTCTGTCTACCATTTGAAGGTCATCTCGAGCATCCAAGTCTTTCTGGAATATAAATCCTGGCTGTAAAACCAAGATATTCATCAAGCCAACCTGATTTTGGTTCTTTTCTTTTTTTTCTCTTGGAAAACTACAGGTTTCTTTTTAATAATCAATTTGGCTAACAGTTTTTGTCTTTGGAACATCATATAGTCTAAATCAATCTTATAGTTGCTCAAATCCTAGTTTTTTCATTCATTCTATAGCAAATAACTTATTACATTAACATAATTGATCATCAATTTTTGAATCATGATAACTGTATATTGAAGTAAATTATCTTCTTAATAATCATGTCTGGTGCGATTGAATAATTTTAAATGAAACAATTAAGCAATTCAAGTATATTATCAAGTTAAGTTCTATTGTACATACTCTATGTCCTTGGAAATACCAGCATAGTGTTGGCTGACACCTCTTTCTGTTTAACTTACTGTCCAGTATAACCCCAGCCTTGTACCTACTAGACAATTTAATACATGATCCATGTATTCTTATTGAACATAACCAGTCACATCCTTTACATTCAATTTTACTACATTTTAAAATCAGTATTGTCTTTGGGAAATAGTTGACCTGTGTCTTTTATAATCATGTGGTGCATATACAAACTGTACAATTAGCTCAATATTTAGTGCAAAATCTCTAAATCATATCAAAAGTTATAAACATTAAATAAGAGTGTTAATTGCCTACTTTTAGACTCAAGTGAGACTTGCATTTTTATACTTTTGGTAAGCTGAAAATTTCATTAACTCCAGGAGAAGGAGGCCCCTTAGTAATGCCAATATTTCCTTTGAGCAACTTAATAAGGTGTAGTTATAACACTGGCTACCATTCAGATGGTGACAGGTGGCACAGAAGGCACACAATGGAATTTCCCATCTGTCTTCTGCTTTCTATCCAGAGCTTAAAGGACAGAGTGTGTTTTGTTCTATGCTCTTTGCTTTCTCAATTTCTGTGCTATTAAAAAGTACTTTAGCTTTCAGAAGCTTAGAAAGCTTGAAGGTCAAAACCATGTGCTTTCTCTTTCTTCTCATTTTTAAGACTGCCTACTGGCTTAGTCCTCATGAAAAGTTTAATTCTGTCTTAGGACTTTACCCCTTATCTATGGAAAATATCTGTCTTTCTAACACCTACACCTACACACACACACACACACACACACACACACACACACACACAGTGAAGAAGCCGGATTCACATATCTCCAAAGAATAAGTATGAAGGTTATGTGAATAATCCAGATTCATAAAAATCAATAAATTCATTAAAGAAAACTATAGGGCTGAGAAGATGCCTCAGTTGTCAAAGTGCTTACTGTGCATGTCTAAAGACACGAGTCTGAGCCCCAGAACATACACTAAGTACAGGACAGGAGTGGTGGCATGTGCTTTATTTTTTTATCCCAGTACAGAGGTGACAGACAGGCACATAGTAGGTCTCACTAGCACTCATCCTAGCTTACTTGGTGAGCTCCATGACAGTGAGAAACTCTGTTTACAAATACATACATAAAGTAGATGGTGCCTGAAGCAGAACACTCAAGGTTGTCCTTGGGCCTCCACATGAACAAGTCTGTGTTTGCACACACACACACACACACACACACACACACACACACACACACACACTTGAAAGCTCATTTTAGTATTATCCATAGTTTTTTAAGATTTAGTTTGTGGTGATGCTCAGTACAGAATGAAGCCAAAATGTTGATAAATTGTAACACAACTGATGCCTATTTTAATTTTTTATATAAGAGAAATAATATATATGTTGGGTGGAGATGATGAGATTTTAAATTAGAATTTTAATTCTTTTCTAATAGCTTTCTATAATTTGTTTTATATGGCCCAATATATGCTACCAAGATGTCTATATAGTCTATAAACTGATAGTGTAGAGCTGTAAATTTTTCTTCTAGGAAAATTGTTCTTATTTTTCTAATACCATATCTCTAAAGATGCAAAGAATAAAGACTATATTTTAATATGTTTATTTTAGTAGCTTATGCAAATAAGTGAATCATCTCTAACAATTCCATGTATCTTCAACATCTATTAAAACCATGTCATATATAAGGCATTGTGGTGTGCATTATAGGCTGTACATAATTAAGCATGTATCTGTAGGGCTTTCAGAATTATCACATTCCCAAAATAGAGACTAGTGAAAGAAAGAAAGAAAGAAAGAGAGAAAGAAAGAAAGAAAGAAAGAAAGAAAGAAAGAAAGAAAGAAAGAAAGAAAGAGAGAGAGAAAGAGAAGGAGGGAGGGAGGGAGGGAGGGAGGGAGGGAGGAAGGAAGGAAGGAAGGAAGGAAGGAAGGAAGGAAGGAAGGAAGGAAGGAAGGAAGGAAGGAAGGAAGGGAGAACCACATATTTGAAATAGCTATAGATTGTGGACTTTTCATGA